TTAAAAATGGACTAATACAGAGCCCCTTTCTCAACTCCTAACAATCGAGGCCTTTGGCCGCCATATTGGATGGACAGTCACCTTGGTCCTCGCCACTAGCTATTCTGCTCCTGAGCGCCCACAGGGAAGGACGGGCTCTGTGGCAGCAGCAGCCTTCCGGACATTTACCTGCTGCTTACCCCCACAGCCACCGGCTCTCTGGGCAGCAGCTCTGCTGGAATCCCTCTGCAGAGACTGTCAAGTGCACTGGTTGTACCTCTGGACACAGGCGTCTCTCCCTGTACGTGGTGCTAACACCCTCACCTGCTGGCTCCTTTGTTAGCTCCCATGTGCTGCTAACTTGCAATATGGTTTGCCAGGGTTTGCATCGTCAAGATACCTCCTAGTCCTATAAATATTTGCCTGATACATTTATTAGTTAACCAATTATACATTTATTTTTATTTACATTTATCTTAAACCAATTATACTTTGGGAGGCTTTTCATTTTCCTTCGTCAAAAGGTTTAATTTTTCTGCATATTTGACCTTAGTGTTAATGGTTGACCAGAATCCTTATGTTTTAGCTGGACCTGGAGTAAAGATACGGCTCAGGAGCCAAATCTACTGTGGTTTTTTTTTGTCAATAAAGTTTTTTGGAACACAGTCGTGCTCACTTGTTTCTGTGTTATCTATGCCTGCTTTATTGTTCCAATGGCAGAGCTGAGAGGTGACAGACTGAATGGCCTGCAAAGCCTAAATAAAATATGTACTGTATCATGTGGCCTCTTACAGAACACGGGTATAGTACGGAGTGGGTTGTTTCCATTCTCAAAAAGACAAGGGGCCTAAAAAAATGTCATGACTTCCTTCCTGTGGTAAAGAAAATGGCCCCCAAAGATGTCCCCGTCCTAATTCTCAAAAGCCGTGGAAGAGGGGCTTAGCCGATGTGATGGAGGGTATTGTGGTGGGGAGGTTATCCCGCGGGGCCCCACGAGAATTCTTACCAGTTAGAATGCAGACTGTGATGCGGAAGAGACTTGAAGATGCTCTGCTGCTGGCTTTGAAGATGGAGGGAGAGGCCATCAGCCGAGGCGTACAGACAGCTTCTAGAAGCGGGAAAAGGAGACCTTCTCCCCTGGAGGCAGCAGAAGGAACCAGTCCTGCGGACACCTTGACCTTTGTCCAGTGAAACAGACTTTGAACTTCTGACCTCCAGAACTGTAAGATAATGAACTTGTGTTGTTTTAGGCCACAAATTTATGGTAATTTGTTATAGGAGCAACAGGAAACTATCGTTAATACAATACCATAAGCCCAAATAGCTCTGATAAAATGGCTAATATTCTCCTACTGAAGTCAGTGTGACAATTGACTGATCTTCACGGAATCCCACTGTTGTGTGACTCTGGAGAGGGTTACACCATCTTTTAAGCCCAGCTAAAGTGGGTTTCAATGCTCACTGCTGTTACCTCCGTCACATGCCTGGTCTTAGCGTGGTCCTATTCGCAGGTGACCTTTTTTCAGTCTCATCTGAGAGGCTGTAGGAAGGCCCCTGGTTTAGGAGTCATGGTGATGCCTACGACTGGAGGGGGCTGTGACAGGCCCCGAGTCTCTCAGTCAGCTTCCTTGGTGTCCTAGGATGCCTGGTGGCGCACAGGCTGTGCTTCCTGGGTGGTCCTGCTGAGACAGCCCTAGGGTCCCAGGGTGCCTGCTGCTTCCGATGAATTTTCCCTGAATGAACACCTGCTGCTGCCCTCATCAGAGTGCTCCCTCCCTCCCACCACCACACCAGCAGAACTTACCTCTGGGGAAGCACTAAGTCCTCCCCTATCTCCTGAGGCTCACCTCTGAGTGGTGGTAAGAAATGGACAGCTTGATATATCTTTTAAAGTCTGCAGTGCATTCTGGAAACTCCCTTCTTGATGCATGCAGATCACTAATATTGATCTTCATTAACAACTGCAAGACACTTCCAGGAGTTCAGTGAAATAAACCAAGGTGCAGACCAGAAATTATCCTATGAGCCAGGAGGTCAAGGTTCGATGCCTGGTCAGGGCACATGCTGGGTTACAGGCTCAATCCCCAGTGTGGGAGGTGCAGGAGGCAGCAGATCAATGATTCTCTCTCATCATTGACGTTTCGCTCTCTATCTCCGAAATCAATAATATATATTATACACACACACACACACACACACACACACACACACACACACACACATATATTTTAAACCATCAATACTACATACAAATAGATGAGAGAATTAAAAGCCTGAGTAGTGTTTGGTGACTAGAGGAGTTAGAATGTTATATGCAGATCTCAAAGTTTCTTGATCCTTGAGCCTAAGGTTCTGCAAATGAAACAGAATTCAGAGCACAGTGCTGCTCTTCCGGGGGCTGTGTATATTCCCAATCCTGAAACATCCATATAAACAGTCTCAGCTTCGCAATTAATTGAAACAGGCTGACCCAAAACTCAATCCTTATTGAAACCATCTATTCTAGAGCTCACAGTGCACAAAAATGTGCAGACATCATCTTGTTTCAGTCTTGCAATAATCTCGAGAGGCCAGAAATCTACACTTCACAGTTGACCATAGGTTTCCCCTACCCCACCCTGTTCTCCTAGGACTCTTGAATGAAAACACATCTGAAGAGCTGCTCCCAGACAGGAAAGGGTGAAAATTCATGAGAGGAAGTAAGCAGGCAAACCGGATTTGGAAATTTGCTTCAATAACATTTCCGTCTGTTGTATCTGAAACATCTGACACCCCTTTCCTTCCTTGGTTTTCGCTAACTCCTACTTTTCTGATAGAAAGTTCCATTAAAGAAAAAAAAAGAAAAAAAAAGCCTGAATAGATGCTTCTCAAACTTTAATACACACAAACCACCTGGGACCTCGCTCGTAGGTGGGGCCTGCATTCCTGCAAGCCCCAGCTCACTGTGATGCTGCTTTAAAACAAAACTCATTTCCTTAAGCAAAACCAATGGATGAAAAACTTGGGGGGGGGGGGAGCAATGGAAAGATATGTACACATATAATACCTTAATAAAAAAAATTAAAAAATAAATAAGTTCCAGACACACACACACACACACACACACACACACACAAAACAACTCATTTCCTCCTACACTTACTTCCATCCCAATGACTCCCTTTTTCACTGAGTCCATCATTTCTTCAATTTCATATTCTTTTTTTTTTTTTTAAATATATTTTATTGATTTTGTACAGAGAGGAAGGGAGAGAGATAGAGAGCTAGAAACATCGATGAGAGAGTCATCGATCAGCTGCCTCTTGCACACCCCTTACTGGGGATGTGCCTGCAACCAAGGTACATGCCCTTGACCGGAATAGAACCCGGGTCCCTTCGGTCCCCAAGCCGACGCTCTATCCATTGAGCCAAACCGGTCTCGGCCAATTTCATATTCTTTAAAGATTGCTTTTTTCCATTCTCAAGCCATTTTATGCTCAAATCAGTTATCTACAGATTAGATTTTCTTGCCTTTGATCTTCCACCCTCCAAATCATCCTGCTGTCTAAAGCTTTCCTAAAGCAGTCAAGCCACTGAAGAAGCAACAGGAGTGTACTACCACTCATCAAATCTAAATTCCTTGACTTGGACCTCAAGGCTCTCCAGTTTGTTTACTACCTGTTAGGGGATGCTCTAACATTTTCCATGCACTAATTCACTCCATCTTTCCAACAACTTTGTGAGATGGATAGTATTACTATCATTACTTTAGTTTTTATATTAAAACATTTTTATAATTTTTTTAAAAAGAGAGAGAAAGGGAGAGGGAGAGAACATTGATGATAGAGAAACATCGATCGGTTGCCTCCTGCACGCATCCTACTGGGGATGAAGCCTGAAACCCTGGCATGTGGCCTGACCGGGAATCGAACCAGCAACCTCTGGGTGCATGGAACAACACTCATTCCACTACTACCGTCACTTTAGATGAGGAAACTGAAATGGGTTAGAAAGTTGCCAAGGTCACAGAGCTCTAAGTGTCTGAAGTCAGACAGACTGGCTCCAGAATAAGGTAAGAAGTGAGGCCCAACTTTAAATTCAGGCTCCATCGGAAACTTGTGAGCACATCACAATGTCGACGGACCCCATTTTTCTAATCCGTAAAAATGAAAGCGTTGACCTACACGTTTCTCTCCCACAGAGACTCCCTACTCAACCATGATTTCTGTCCCTTAACAATCATGCAGTTGGTCAGTCACCCACATGTCCTCAATCCCGTCCTCAATCCTGCCTCTGCCAGTGCTCCTGCTGCATCTGCCCCTCCCACCCCCAATCTTGCCCAACCTACTGCCTTATGGCCTGGTTAAGCTCGAATGCATTAGTTTCCACACTCATAGTATCAGAAAAATATCAATACTAACCTCTTAGGAATTCCAGCTTAGAGAATTTGGCTCCTCTGTTCTGCCAGGATCCTATATAATAAAAGCCCAACATGCCAAGTGTTTGACAGTTCAACCAGTCACTATGACATGCACTGACCACCGGGGGGAAGACACTCGGACCTGTAAATTAGCTTGCTGCTGGGTTCCGGCTGATTGGGACGGCACAAGATTGGCTGGACACACCCTGGAGCCCTCCTGTGGTCCCACTCCGGCCCCAATCGTGCACCAGTGGGGTCCCTCGGCCTGGCCTGTGTCCTCTTGCAATCTGGGACCCCTTGGGGGATGATGGAGAGCTGGTTTCAGCATGATCCCTGCAGGCCAGGCCAAGGGACCCCACCGGTGCACAAATCCATGTACTGGGCCTCTAATTTTATAATAAAATGCCTTAAAATAAAGAAACAATCACCTGCAGCATGGACATCTCTTGAGTATACAATAATTCTGTTGATATTGCATTTGACAAATACATTTTGATTTGAATTTCTTGTTAGTTCTCCCCATCTCCTGGAATTTGGGCATCACTTAATTGTCAGAACAATACCCTCAGAAATTCAAGAGGAAAGTTCAGGCTAAATGTGGAGGGAAATCAAGAAAACGTACTCATGGTCCTTAGAAACACTTTTATTTATAAAATAACTACTCCAATAGAAACATCTCTAAATGTAAACTATTCACAAGAGGCTCACGCTGCTGCCTTCTGACCGACCCGCATGCACCCGGGCTCGGGAGCCCAGTGTCTCCCAACTCATCAGGGTGGTTCGGCCGAAGGTGCACTTGGTGGAGCAGGGGCTGTAAGACTGTCCTTAATTCCCTTCTTAAGGCAAATTCATAGTTTTCTGTTCCAAGGTAGGCTTCACGGGGGGCAGACCTTAATAAGAGCCCTGCTCGAGTAGAACGTTCAGGGGAGAGTCGTCAGGTGAGGGTTAGCAAACATCTTCCTGAGGCCGGAGAAAGGGACAACCAGGCACTTCAGAGTCTTTTTGGCTTAGACTGTGATCTCTGGAACATGGAGGTTAGAGTGAAACAGAAAATGCTAATTCCAAGTCTCTGATGAGCTACTTTCAGGACTGAATATCCTACTTCAAATGAGGCACGAGTTAGGCCAGGAGGTGTTGCTCGGTGGTTGAGCGTCCACCTGTGAATCAGGAGGTCCCGGTTCTATTCCCGCTGGGATGCAGGTCCAGGTTGTGAGTTTGATCCCGAGTAGGAGGCAGCCAACCAATGATTCTTTCTCATCACCGATGTCTCTCTCTCTCTTTCCCTCCTCCTTCCTCTCTGAAATCAATAAAAACATCTTTTAAAAAAGAAGACACGTGTTAGGTTTCTGCATCCGTGGATAGCACTGTGTTGGATGAAGGAGAAAGGTATCCTGTCTTCACCAGGCCGGGCTGGTTTTGGCTCACTGCAGAGTGAATCCTACTAATGAAATGGCTGGGACTCTGATCCTATTCTCCTTGGAAAATCTGTCAGTTATGGGTTGCAGAAGGGAGAGCCTGGGGAGATTATCACACACTGATTGTATAAAGTAGACATAACTCTCAGAACGGTGCAGATGACTGCACCTAAAGAAATGAGAACCTTCAGATAGAGGTCGAAGGGAAATAAAGACGCTAAACACCCTTCAAAGGGAGAAAGAAAGCCATCGAATGTTCCATAACCAGTCAGGGAGCTAAGAAACAGATTACACATGCTAGTGTTTTAAAAGGACTTTTAGAAATTGGGGTGGGCACAGAGGTGTGAACGTGTGTGGACACTGAAGCTTTGAAATACCAGAATTAATACAATCTCAGCAAACTCCTTGCCACAGGCAGAGGCACAGCCTAAAGGGCTTCCAGAGAATTCTTTTCACCCAAGTCCATTTCTGTCAGGTGATGGTGGAGCATAGCACAACCAATGCCAACATCTTCTAATGCTATTGCATGGCTCCCAGCAGACACAAGATACTGTCTTCTGCTTGGAAATTTCTCATTTCCATCGGCGGACCCAGGACTTGCCGCTCTTCTTGTGGTCATGGAATTGTCTTCAAGCTCCAGGGTTCATTGCAAATTCTAGAAATCCTAGTGAGCATCAAGGTGGCGGACCCAATGGCGGAGAACAAGTCGTGTCTTGTGCCCCGGGGGCACGGCGGGCGCTGGGGACAGGCCTGTGCCTCCCGAGCGGTGCCCTCTCGGGACCACCAGCACCTCTGGCAGAAGGAAGCGAGGGTTAGCAAGGCGAGTGGGAAGCAGAGTAGGCTCAGGTGTACTCAGCTTTGCGGATATAATTGGATGGGACATAGCCCTTCTTCCCATTAACTTCGGCCAACCACCATTCTGTATTTCCTGTAACGTCTTTAAAGTCCAGGATCTTGAGTCTCTGATTGGCTGACACACTCAGCTCATTTGGGTTCCGTGCCTTGAAGGTATAGACAGCAAAATAGACCTGTGTGAGGGGGAAAAAACTGGGTTAGGCCATGGGAAGCCACCTGGAGGAGCGCTGGCTGTCCATCAGAACTCCCTGCCGTGATGCGGATGGTCTGTACCTGCGCCGTCAGTAAGGCAGCCTGCAGCCACAAGTGGCTCTTGAGCACTTGACATACGGCCAGAAAGACAGGAACTTCATTTTTAAAATTTCATTTCATTTTAACTAACTATATAATTTTAAGCTGCATAGAGCTGGTGGCTACCACAATGGACAAGATAAAGTCAAAGAAAACAAAAATTCATATCAGAGCCGATATATTTAGAAAAACATGTCTCCCTCAACACGTCTAGAGGAACTGCCCACTGGCGGGTCCAGAACTGGGATGTCCATTCTGGTCCAGAGAGAAACAGGCCTGCACTGTGCTCATCAGACGGACTGAGTTGAGAAACGAGTGGGAAACCTGGTGTTCCGGAATCCAGAGCCCAGGGCACGACCGAGACTCTCAGCAAAGGCAACCCCACGGGAGATGAGCTCACAGACACGGCCTCTCACTGCTGCGAGACGGAGCAAAGGCGACAAGCAGAGGGCTGTGGATCTAGACGCGGCTTTACAACGTGCAGGTTTAAATGTTCAAGATACAAAGGCTACATTCAGATCCCCAAGACAACAGGCCGTTACAAAAGGAACAGGGAAAAAACAAAACAAAAAAAAAACAGGGCCAGAATTTCTAAATTCTAGTACTAAAATTATAGTATTTGAATAAAAAGCTCAATAATGGGTTAAACAACAGACTTTCTACAACTAAGGAATTAGTAAATCAGAAGAGTGAGAAACGTGTTCATCGTTAATACTGTGTAAATGCCCAATGACACAGAAAAGGGCTCAGAACAGCCACTAAGAGCCGGCCACGGAAAGGGCCTGGGTGGTGGTGAGTTGCTCACTCAGCAGCATGAGTGTTTGTCTATGAGCTCATCTCCAGATCACACCCCGGGCCCTGGCAAGCCTCTGACTCGCCCCGCCCTAGAAGAGCATTATCTGCGCCCACATCGCACCTGCCACCTGTTCTGCAAGGAGCTGTACACAAACACATTGATGAGCAGGGAGCACTCACCTGGTTGCCTAACGCCTCGCTGCTCTCCGGCTCTTCGTTTTTATCTTCCACATTCTGGGCTGTTCCCACACATCCTTTCAGGAGGTCGTTATCCTGCCCGTTTCGCCCTGGCACGGAGCAGCCAGCCACCTCCGGATGCCGGGCGCTTCGGTAGCTCCTCGGGGTAGGTGCCGGCTGGGCCACGTCCTGGGCCACGTCGGCGGAGTCCCAGGGCCCGGGCTGGGAGGCGGAGTGCGGGTCTGACGGGCAGCTGGAAGGACTGCTCTCTGAACGGCCCACGTGTAAGGGAGCGCTGAGAGTGGCCCGGTCCAGTTCCTTCAACGAAGACGCATCTGGAGGCTGTTTCTGGCAAGGCCCCGACGTGAAGGCCACGGCTGTGCCGCCGGGGCTGAAGGCCAAGGTGCTGCAGCTGTTCTGCCGGGGGAACCGGGGGGAGGAGCTGCTGTGCTCGGACTCCGTGGAGGAGTGGCTGCCCACGGAGACGTCCGAGTGGCTGCGGCGGGCGTTGTAGGGCTTCAGGAAGGAGCTGTACACGAAGCCTTTGGTGACTACGGGGAGGAAAAACAGACATGAAAAGCTTTCAGCAGGAGGAGGAGGAGGAGGGAGGAGGGACGGAGGGGTAATCAGCAGAGAAGAAACTGTGGTTCACAAGTTTCCATAGTGAGAGACACAAAGTAAGACGCCCAGTGAGAAAACAGATTAGACATTCAATCCCAGGGTGCAATGCGGGTGGGTGCCTGCCTGCCAGTTCACTCTTGTTACGACCTCAGAACGGACGAGCGGTAAGGGGGCCTCGTGGAGGGTCGAGGGGGCAGTGAAGGAAAGGACAAGCTGGAGAGCGAGCACATGGAGACACTTTCACAGGATTTCCAGATCATGGAGGAAAGGACTAAGGGATGACTTGAGGAATGGGTTCAAATACAACAGTGTGGCAAGAGGGATCTGAATGACCATCCTCATGGGCAGAGCCCGTCAGAGATGCCTCCCTGCCCTCTTTCCATCCACGTGGATCCCCGTCTCTGATTCAGGAATGTGGTGGGAATAGTGAGCACAGTCCAAGTGGGAAGCTGTTTCTATTGGTTGGACACACACACAACACATGCACAGCACATGTTCATTTAACAAGTTGCCTAAGAAGATGACAAAGAGGGCCTTCAGCTAACACTTTGAAGTATAAATTGGGAATTGAAATCCTGAATCAATGGAAAATGCTTTATGATATTAAGAGACAACTATCTGTTCAGGCAGGGACCTCCGTGTGAGCCCCCTCTGTCCCTATCTTCCACACGTTTCCTGTAGCTAAAACAATGCCGGCACACGTTTGTTTTATCTGCTGAGTGATGGGGAGGGGCCTCCTGGGCAGATGGCGGGGGTAGAGGGCAACAGCTGATCTGGATACTGTGGGCTTCTTGTTACCACTTATCAGGATTGAGCCCATACAACTCTAAGGATGAGGGAGCCCTCTGAACAGCTTGCATCCTTACAAGGAGTTCATCTGTCCATGAATCTAGCAGGGGCATCACCTGCTCACCCCCTTTCCCATTTCAATCTCTATTCTTTGGTTAAGAAGTAGTGGGGAGGAGGAAAAAATCTTGTAAAGAAATGAAAAATGTTAACATTTTCATTTCTGGCAATGTGAACATAGATACTTATTATATATGCCCACAATCCATATCTGAAGTGCTCAGAACCAGATGTGCTTTAGAATTTAGATTTTTTTAATTTGGGGAAGGTAATAAAGCACATATATAAAGCAATCTATATATAAAGCAATCTATATATATAAAAGCAATCTATATATATAAAAGCCTAAATGACAGGTTGACCGGTTGCTATGACATGCACTGACCACAAGGGGGCAGATGCTCAATGCAGGAGCTGCCCCCTGGTGGTCAGTGCACTCCCACAGCGGAGTACCACTCAGCTGATTGATGAGTGCCAGCCGCAGGGCTCACAGCTGGCCTCTCAGCCGGGAGACCGCAGGGGAGCAGCCGCCGTGGCAGGGCAGTGGGGCCAGGATGAGCAGGAGTGGCAGGGCAGGCAGTGTTGGACTACTGGTTTCAGCCCAATCCCCACGGGCCACGTGCACCGGGCCTCTAGTGTATTTCATAGCAGGGTCTGGGTTAATATCCCATATTCAAATCCACTAACGTTTCTGTAGCAAAACATATGGCTCTTCACACCAAAAGGGACAGGTAATGACTATAAACAGCCTCCCGTCACTTTGGTCAGGTTTTGCCACCAAATGAGTTCAGGTTAGGCAGGTTTTGGCAAATTAATTCTGAGAGGGGGGGGAAACACAAACCTTTGCTTCTTCAAAGCTTTTCAGATTTTGATATTGGGGGAAAGAGTCATGGGTCAGTATTATTCTTCGTGCTTTTCTTTAAATTCTGTACACCTTCCCCATGCCCCCACCACACACAAAAAAAACTATGAGCTGTTTTAAAGATATCCATGGATAGCCATGAGGTAAGACTCTTATGGCAGGAAAACCTCAAAAAGCAAACGAAAACCTCTGTCTCACAGGTTTTAGCTTCGCACACTCCTAAGGCACAGTCAGAGCGCGGGAGAAGGCCGCTCACGCTGTGGTTTGCTGGGAACCGGCTGCGAGGGCACAGGCCCCCTCAGGCAGCGCCTATGGCCCTCAGGGCTGGGAAGCAGGGCCAGACCTTGCAAGGGAAGGAATGGAATCTCCTCTGGAATTTGTAAAAAACAAAAACAAAACTGAAGACGGGGGTTGTTTCAGTAATCACTTGGGCATTATACCCTCCAGAGGTGGACAGAACTTCCAAGGTTATTTTCCCCTTTAATCAGACTTGTGTTTTCCAGGCCCAGACAGGATTCAGCCACAGCCCGGAGCCGCTCCTCACTGAGAGTGTCAGTGATCTGGCGTCCAGCGCTCTCACCTCCATTGTCAATCAGCCAGCGGTTGTGGCTGCCCATGGGGTCCTTCTTCTTGATCACGCCCACCAGGTCGCCTTCCAGAAGGGAGACATCCAGGTCCTGGGCGGCATTGAAGTTCCGGTCTGCTTGGAAGAGCTTTTCTGGGGGGTACCTCGCCAGAAGAGAGGCCCGGAGTTCTTCCGTCTGCAGCATGTAGGTTGGCTGAAAGGCAGTGTGAGAAATACCGTGAGCAGAAGCCCTCCCGGCCGTTACCCCAGCGGCTGGGTGCAATCCCGACACCTCCGTCTCAGAGCGGGGAGACAGCCAGCCGCTCCTGCGCCGGATCCATGCACTGGGCCGGGTGAAAGTCTTGATCCCTTAGGCTTTGCTTTGGTGCCTTTGCAGATATTAAGAAAGTTTAAGTCACAGTTTTACTATCATCTTGTGACAAAAAAAAAAAAAAAAAAAAAAAATGACGAAAGTGCCACCCAAAGACTCAAAATACCTAATATATATTACTTAATATGACTGTGTCTTCATATGAAGCTAAAGAACCCCGAGGCTTGTCCTCGTGCGGACTTCCCCAATAAAGATAGATCTTTAGAAATAAGATAAAGTAATAATAAATGTGATTCCCCCTTTTAAGCTAATCTAAGTTAATGTCTATGAAACTGTATGAGTGAAAATACTATAAACAAAGATAAGTCTTCAGTCTTTTAGAGCATGCCCTGATGTAATCTGGCTTAGCTTCCAAAATTCTCAAACTATGGAAGAATGGAGTTTTTTTAAAAAATATAACCGCCAATGTACCTAAATAAATATAGTTTTATATATATTGCCCAGCTGGGCATCGCTCAGTAGTTGAATAGTTCAATTCCTGGTCAGGGCATATGCCTGGGTTGCAGGCTCGATCCTCAGGGTGGGATGTGCAGGAAGCAGCTAATCAATGATTCTCTCTCATCATTGATGTTTCTATCTTTCTCTCTCCCTCTCTGAAATCAATAAAAATAAAAATAAAAATACACACAGACACACACACACACACACACACACTCTAGAGGCCCGGTGCACAACATTCGTGCACTGGGGGAGAAGGTGGGCGTCCCCTCAGCTCGGCCTGTGCCCTCTAGCAGTCCAGATCACCCTGAGGGATATCTGACTGCCAGCTCCCAGGGGGACTGGCGGGGAGTGTGGGCCTAAGCTGGCAGTCAGATATTCCCATAGGGGTCCTTAGCACTGTTCATGCCAGCAGTGAGCCCAGCTTCTGGCTGAGTGGCGCCCCCAGGGGAGTGCACTGACCACCAGGGGCAGCTCCTGCATTGAGCATCTGCCCCCTGGTGGTCAGTGCGCATCACAGTGACTAGTCATTTCGCTGTTTGGTCAACTTGCATATTAGGGCTTTAAAGTATAGGATATCTCCAGGGAATAAAGCAGTTAGCCATGACTGTTTGGCAGTAAATCAAATAACTACCTCTTCTAATATATGATAAAAAATAGGGAGGACTAGCAGAATGAACACACCCTTAAATCAGTCCCCTTTATTAATTGAACAAAGTACTAAGACTACTAACTCCTTTCATAGACAAAAATCCAAGTATGCTTTTCAGAGGGCATTTGGAAGTACATACAAAGTGTGAGAAAACTACAGGTGCTCACTGTCAAGTACCAGTAGGCTCCTGGTGATGCTCGATAAAAAGAGTACATGGCCGAAACCGGTTTGGCTCAGTGGATACTATCCGATAGAGCATCAGCCTGCAGACTGAAAGGTCCCAGGTTCGATTCTGGTCAAGGGCATGTACCTTGGTTTCAGGCACATCCTCAGTAGGGGGTGTGCAGGAGGCAGCTAATCGATGATTCTCTCTCATCAATATTTCTGACTTTCTGTCCCTCTCTCTTCCTCTCTTTAAAAAAATCAATAAAAATATATTTAAAAAAATAAAAAAGTGAGTACATGAATGAATGAACCCATCATAGGTAAGAACTCGATAACCTTTTTTTTATTTATTATAAAGTATTTAAGCTCCTATTAAATTGCTAATCTATACAGACAGAGCTAAGTCCATCGGTGCTAAACATAACAAAGATAACAGATTACTTATATAATGCTTACTAACTGCCAGAAAATTTCTGAGTGCTTTACATATATTAACTCATAATAACTCTATGATGCAGTATAATTATTATCTGTGTTTTAGGGAAGAAAAAACCAAGGCACAGAGGTGAAGGTGCTTGCTCAAGGACGTACAGTGAGTTATGTGTCAGTACCGGGGTCTGAACCCAGGAGGTGGAGCTCCAGAGTTCACCTTCTTAACAGCGAGGCTGGGCATCCGCGCGCTCACTCCCTACTCACCAGGCCCAGGAGTGGCTTCCGAGCAGACTGGCGGTCCACGGTCTTCCTCTCAAACGGCCTCTTGGCAGCTGGGAGAGCCTCTGGGAAGAAGGTGAAAACCTGCAGCTGCTGCAGAACCCTGCTGTGCTCCTCGTGGAAGAGGGCAATGAGGTTTCCCTCTCTGCCGGCAGCTTTGAGTAACTGGAGACCGTGGGGAGAGCGAGAGAGAAAAGAGAATACGATGAAAGATGCCGGACTGACAGTCTTGTTAAAACCACCGGAAGCTGCAGTTCAGCGGCAGTTCAGCGGCAGTTCACTCTGTAAGCTACTAACACTGCAGCTGACGCCAGGGACTGAGCTGCCAGTGGACACGTTGGCTGGCTCTGCAGGGATGGCTCAGGGTGGAGAGAGAACCATTTAAAAGCCAAGAGGTTAGCCCAGCTGGTGTTGCTTGGTGGTTAGTGTTGGCCCACGCACCTAACGGTCTTATCTTGAGTTCAATTCCCAGTTAGGTTGCAGGTTTAATCCCCAGCCCTGGTCTGGCACATGGGAGGCAACCAATTTATGTATCTCTCACATCAATGTCTCTCTCTCTTTTCCCCCTCCCCATCCCCTTCCTGCTTTCCACTCTCTCTTTCTTTAAAAATTAATGAGGAAAACAAAACAAAACAAAATCAGCTGAGAATAAAAAATAAAAAATTTAAAAAAATTCAAAGGCCTGGCCCTGGCCAGTGTGCCTCAGTGTTGAGTGTTGACCCATGAACTAAGAGGTCATGAGTTTGATTCCCAGTCAGGGCACATGCCCCAGTTGCAGGTTTGATCCCCAGTAGGGGGCGTGCAGAGGAAGCCAATTGCAGTTTCTCTCTCATCAATGCTTCTATCTCTCTCCCTCACCCTTCCTCTCTCTAAAATCAATAAAAACATAATTTTTAAAAAAGCCATGGGCTTCACAGGCACCAGAAGGGTTAAAGAATTCCAATTCCTAATGGGCTTGACCTAATAACATATTTACTCTATCTATTTTGCAGAATATCCCAGACAACCCTACTGTGCACTTCCAGAAAATCACCAGGAGAGCTTCAGAGGTGAACTCTCCATGGTGAGTGTGGGGGTGGGCGTGGGGGGGAGGAATGAGGACTCACCGAGAGCAGGGGCTTCAGCTGCTCCAGGGCCTGGCGCACGAAGTCGCAGTGGGCCTCGGCGTAGCCGTGGATGCAGTTGGTGAAGAGGCCCTGGGCGAGCTGCTGGAACTTGGGCAGCTCATCCAGCAGCTGCGCGTTCAGGGCCTCGTAGTTGTTGCGGGCCGACTGCAGCTCCTCCAGCGTCTTCTTGTCCTTGAGCTTCTCCGCCCGCTCGGTGCAGTTGTAGAAGTCCAGCAGCTTGTCGAAGCGCTTCTGCACCAGCTTGTGGGGCCCTGTGAACATGCTGAGCAGCTGGTTGAGGGGGGAGATGACCAGCCGCTCTGTCCTCTCCTTCTGTAGGGACAAGAAAGGCAGTTGCTCAGAATTTGTGATGTCCTAGACCACCTGCTGTATTCCTAGAGCACAAGCAACACCCATGCAGATCCAAGTGTCCTGCTCACCCAATCCCCGATGAATATACACACTCAACGAAACCTCTCAGCTTATGCCTAGCAGGTGTGGGCAAGAGACGACCTATAAATCAGGAGGTCAAGGGTTCGATTTCCAGTCAGGGCTCTTGCCTGGATTGCAGTAGAGGGTGTGCAGGAGGCAGCTGATTGATGATTCTCTCTTATCACTGATGTTTCTCTTTCACTCCCTCTACCTTCCTCTCTAAAATCAATTAATATATATATATATATATATATATATATATATATATATATATATATATATTTTTTTTTTAAACTTCTCAATTTATAACTCTGCACCTAAAGAGTGCAAAATATGCTGATCCCTCCTTAGCTCCTCAGTTGATAACAAATGCTAAACTACACACATTGATATGATGGGTGCATTACAACCCAGATGTGACAGTCTGTCTGGTATCAATTCTTATGTGCAGATGCCTATGTAGCTTGATTTTAACTTAAGATTTAGTTGTTACATAAATCTGGAATAGAAAAACTTTCTCACACCCATAATACCTTTTCCATCATAACTAGTTGGTAATATATGTCTTTATTTTTCAAAGGACTTTTCTCTAATTCTTTCCAGCAGGACAGACACAAAACGCAAAGCACTGACACATAAAAAACAAAAATAGGTACTTATGTCAAAACTGGTTTGGCTCAGTGGATAGAGCATCAGCCTGCGGACTGAAAGGTCCCAGGTTCTATTCCAGTCAAGGGCATGTATCTTGGTTGCGGGCACATCCCCAATAGGGGGTGTGCAGGAGGCAGCTGATCGATGATTCTCTCTCATCGATGTTTCTAACTCTCTATCCCTCTCTCTTCCTCTCTGTAAAAAATCAATAAAGTATATATTTTTAAAAAATAAATAAAAAGTATTGTAAAAAAGGAAGAAAATATGTTTACAATATACATTGAAAAAAGTCTGTGTATAAGTGAACCCATGCAGTTAAAACCAGTTTTGTTCTAGGGTTGACTGGATAGCTATTTAGAATTCAGAAGCAATGTGGCCTTTAGTACTTTCCTTGTAGTTTGTACAATCTCAAAGATCTATTTGTTAACCTCTTATTAACAATCCCTAACTATTCCTTTTTACGTTACCGTTCCAATCACTGTTTCCTTTTGATCAGAGTTATCAGTTGTGACCCAGGATCACATTTCCTAGTTTTCCTTTGTCTGCTGAAACCAGGCTGGTCACAAGCTCCGAAAACATCTGTGTGAATACATGTAGGTCCTGCCTGGCCTTGACCTTATTGAAAGTCATCCTTTGGATATGAAATCCTGCTGCAAACATCCCAGAGGACGGCCAGGACTCCTATGCACTGAGCATGTCTCTGCGGTTCGCTTTTCCTCAGCTGGAGGCAGAGAGCCCAGGACGGGGCCAGCCGGGAACAGAGTGCTGAAGACGTCACTTACGAAGCTGGCGAAGAGCTGGTCGCTGATGTAGCGATGCACCTGCTCGAACTGTTCCAGGTCCTTGTGTCCCTTCTCCATGCACACGTCCCACATGCTCGCCGCAGCCACCACCTTCACACAGGCCGACTCCTGCAGCCAGTGAGGAGAAAGGCAAGTGAGATCAAACAGAACTGTCTGGCCTTCAGCATTCATTGCTTGGTACCAGTGGGGGAAAAGGAGTTCTGAAATTATTTTTTTTTCTCTGTGGTGTAGCATTTTAGCTTCAAAACAAGAATATTTTCATAAACTATGATTTTTGGGCATAGGGAAAAGCCTGAGACGTTTAATTATGGGAAAATTGGTGAGGGCTTTTATCATCTCTTTTGCATTCCTCATGTCCCTAATTTGAGGGCTTCTTTTTAAAAAAATATATTTTATTGAATTTTTACAGAGAGGAAGGGAGAGGGATAGAGAGATAGAAACACAGATGAGAGAAAAACATCAATCAGCTGCCTCCTGCACACTCCCTACTGGGTATGTGACCTCAACCTAGGTATATGCTCTTGACCGGAATTGAACCTGGGATCCTTGAGTCCGCAGGCTGACACACTATCCACTGAGCCAAACCGGTTAGGGCTGAGGGTTTCTTAATGCATCAAAAAGTCAATTACATTGAAGTCAAGATGATTCCTGCAAGACTGTGATAACGAACAATCATCTCTCCTCTTAGCGTCTTGGCTCACGCTGTTACCTTCTCAAAAACAACTGCCCAGGGCCCTCTGGGTAATGCAACCTTGCTTCCTTCACCCAAACTCTGGCACCCCGATGGCTCTTGTTGCCTTTTCCTTACAAAAATACCTCCTTACACACAATGTAACTTATTAACGTGAAGGCAGCACTCATCTGTAATAATGCCGAAAATGCGAAAAAATAAGTGAATGCGGAGTAAACACCTCCTGACTGATCCCAACCGTTTTTTAAATACCAAGTTGGTTTTCTTTCATAGGGACAGCGTGTGTCACGTATATAAACACATTCCATAAAATCAGTAGACAGATTAGAAATATGAATAGAAAGGATTCTAGTCCTGGTGTGACTTCGTGAAGGAGACGCTGTCCTGGGACGAGGTGAGCATGCCCTGGGCCTGACCTCCTGGCCGCTCCAGGCTTGGCTCGAACAGCCTTAGAGCCTTCTGAAGGGCAGCTAAGTACGTTGGAAACAAATATTATTAGAAAGACTTCTACAGGAACTCTTCTATCTTTAAAATTGTTTTGACAGAATGAACTGTGATAAGTGCTTCTTACATACCTGGGACAGGAGACAGTTAACAGGTGGTGGGGAAGACTGAGAGGGAGGAAGGGCTGGACACTTTAAAATTAATACAACTGTGCTGACCTTCTAAAGGTTACTTAACTTTTAAATAATCCTTAGGAATCCCGAGAAAAAGCATGTCATGGCATTACGGTCATTTGAATCCAGACTGTTCAACATTCAACAACATGCTGGATGAAGGGGAAAATGGACAGAATGGTGCCTAGGGGATCCTAACCAGAGCCATGTCAGCCATGTCCTCACTCACCCGGATGTGCTGGAGGTAGAGAGACAGGTCTCGTATAAAAGATTTGATCAGTCGTTCCTGCATTCGGAAGTTCTTTTCTGTTTCTTCAAATGCTTCATCTCTTATCTGTTCAAAATACACAAGTGCTGTTAGCTGATGTGAACTCTCCCTCAATCTACCTTCTTGGCAAAAGTATCTTTCTTAAAAACACATCCTGTTTACATTTTAAACCTTTGATGTTTCCCTGAATCATACTAAACTGAATTTAAACTCCTCTGCATGGCTTTGAGAGAGGGATCCCCTTACTCCTCCGCCCTGGTAGAGACCCTTTGGTCTGGTGAGGCTGCTCTGTCCACCATTTTCCCTGCCTCATCGGTGGACTCTATGCCTTTAACCCTGTGTTGTTGCTTTGCCTGGTGCGCCCTCTCCTCTCTAGACCCACCTGCTCCCTCTCCCCCTTTAAGACTCAGATGAAATCTCTAGCTAACATGAAGATATCACACTCATGGAGCTCCTGAGTACTATAATGGGTAGAGAACAAACTGCAAAGCTTAGCGACTGACTTTTTTTTTTTTTTCCACTTGCATTTTCTTTTCTTTTTTTAAAATATATTTTATTGATTTTTTACAGAGAGGAACGGAGAGGGATAGAGAGCTAGAAACATCGATGAGAGAGAATCATTGATCAGTTGCCTCTTGCACACCTCTGACTGGGGATGTGCCCACAACCCAGGTACCTGCCCTTGACCGGAATCAAACCTGGGACCTTTCAGTCTGCAGGCTGACGCTCTATTCACTGAGCCAAACCGGTTTCGGCTTCACTTGCATTTTCCCTTACTGGTACCGTGTATACATGGTATAGTGAATGAGGTCGGGAGCCTTCGGATTTATCCTCAGCACTGTCCATCACTCAGTCCCTCAGACTTTGTGTTTACTTCTATGCAGCATCTGGTGTTGAATTTAAATGAGCTTTCAAATCCCTTCTAGCTTAATAGGACTGCAATTTTAATTTTATCTCCCTAAATAAATTATAAGGTTTTTATGAGTGTCTAAAGTAGGGGTGTCGAACTCAATCAGAGAAGGGGCCAAAATCTAAAATCCAGCCTAAATCGCGGGCCAAATGGTTTACTGAACAGTCATAAACTGTCATTGTGATGGAAACGCAGCGGAGTGCAGTGATGACAGCGCAGTGCGGGCCACATTGCAAGGCCTGGTGGGACGGATTTGGCCCGCGGGCCTTGTGTTTGACACATGTGGTCTAAAGCCACAATGATTGGCCTTCGGATTTGCCTTTGTACACCAAGGCAGCTCACCGAGGCATGGATAGAGGGCTGGGTGGGTGGATGGACTGACATCACCAGTAGCTGCTGGGTCCGGTATCCACCAGACAGCAAACACCAGGGGAGGTACCAAGAGGGGAGTCCTGCCAGCTGGCATCACACAGGCTGCCCCACGGAGCCTTGAAAAGCTGCTAAAGACATGCTGAACTTTGACGTGCAGGACCCTCACCTGGGGAGCAAAGCCAGTGAGGTGCTTCAGGTGGCTGCTCACGCGGTTGGATTTCTTGATGATGGAGTGGATGTTCAGTTTAGAAATTTTCTCCATGAGGCTATCTTCGTCGCCCTTCCGGTACTTGAGGACTAGGGAGTGAGTCAAATTGGTGAGTTAGAAAGCTCTTTCCTGAGCACAGACTATAAAATAAGCTACAAAACGAGACTAACAATCCAAAGTAGAGCTAGTGCTCCAATTCACTGAGCTTAGAATGAGTATAGACAAATTATTACTCGAAATCACCATTTATGAACAGAGAGAATACTCAAGAGCAGAGAGACACTGCACAGACTGGAGAAGGTTAGTGACAAGGGGGAGAGGTAGCAGGTCTAAGGAAAAGAGCCTAAAGATCTGAACTCATGGAAGCATCAGAGTTCAGTGGCAGGGTCTATCATTTCATCGAAGTCTGGCCTTAAACAAGTCACTAAACTTCTCTGAGACTCATTCCTCTCCAATAAGATGTAGAAAGTAACAGTATCTGCCTTATAAGACCATCTTAAATGGTCTCATACATATGCAAATGAGGTATTTATATCCAATCATCTCACACAGTAAAATGCTGTACAGGAGTTATTTTTAATCACCGTGTCCAACATTAGGCACAATCTGCAGAAAACACTGGGGCTCACAGTAGCAGGGTCACAGGGGGAAGGATAGGGGGCACCAAAAAGACACACTTATCACCTTGGGAGATGAAGAGGACATTACATCAGGAGATGAGCCATAATGGCTAGGTGGCTAGGAAGCTTTTCAGCCATGAGCTACATGACATATGAATGTGGGTGAATGACTGCAGTAGGGGGCAGAGGAAATGGTTTAGGTAAAGTGGGGAGAAGAGTGGAGAACAGGAAAAGAGGTTGCACTACATTATAGGTTCTTTGAGGATATCAATAATGTATCAGTTCAGCATGGTCACCATACTATTTGAATGTTCAAATTAGAGCCTTAACAAGACATTTGATCAAGAAGAAGAAAGAGGAGGAGGAGGGCCGAAACTGGTTTGGCTCAGTGGATAGAGTGTGGGCCTGTGGACTGAAAGGTCCCAGGTTCAATTCCGGTCAGGGGCATGTACCTTGGTTGTAGGCACATCCCCAGTAGAGGGTGTGCAAGAGGCAACTGACAGATTATTTTCTCTCATAGATGTTTCTAACTCTCTATCCCTCTCTCTTCCTCTCTGTAAGAAATCAATAAAATATATCTTAAAAAAAAAAAAAAAGGAGGACGAAGAGGTGGAGTAGGAGAAGGGAAAAGAAATGGTTTAATTCATTCTACACTATAAAGGAAGAGTGAGTGGGTGGTTTGGTGACTGACTGCAGTATGCGGGGAGGTGTGTGGGAGAAGGAACTCAGATGAGAGAGGCAGGTTTCTGAGCATCGGCAGACTGATGGGACCCACAGATGGGGGCACAGGGGACTTTTCTGGAAGAAGATTGCGAGTTCTAACTTAAATGGAGACAGTGAAACAGCTAACCAGACGTGCAGAGCAAACAAATGCAAGCACGGATAGAAAAGGGCTGTCATCAATGAGTTGAAAAGGCAACCACGCATGCCTGGAGGAACTCTAGAGCCGCCATTTTCTAATCAGTCTTCAGACCTCTTGAGAAAGACTCTTGCTGCTATAAGCTTTATCAGAGATGTCTACTTCCAATATGCCACGGTTGTGCTTTCATCATTACTGCTGTCTCTCTTCAGATCACATTTCCCCCAAATTCTACTGCTGTTCCTTCATTACAACCCTATAACCTGCCATCTGCCTTGTCCGCCTCTGGTGAAATAATTCTTTTGAGAAGAACATTCTCAAAGGCCTAGCTGCTTTGTAGCAACTATGCTGGTTCTTACCCAGATCCTTTCGACGTTTATATTCATTAATGTTAACGTTGATTTCCTTGACTGCAAGTACTGCTTTGGTTAAAGGCGCTTTATCCGGGTGGGATTCTGGGGTGGAATTCAGCAACTCCATTAGCAGCAGTGGGTAACGCATTACTCTCTGCACTGGTTTGATGAGGAAGGAGCCCAGGTTAATATAATTTGTGCATCCCCTAGAAGAGAAGGAAAAACAGAGCCGTCAGTCCGCTGTCAATAAATAATACAGGACTCACAGGTAGTGTCCTTTATTCCTAAATAGAGCTCTGTTCTTTCTTCCTACTTTCTATTTTCATCCATTCATGTTTACTGGGCGCCTAATAAATACCAGGTAGGTACTGTTCCGGGTGCTGGGGATGTAGCAATGACCATAAAAAGTCCCCGCCCTGATGGAATGAGACTGGCCATAAACAAACAAATATCATAAAAAGTGTCATTGGGTGGTAAGTGCTATGGAGAAAAATATAACAAGGTAAATCTACTTCTAGTTTTCTGTCTATGAAGGAAGAAAATTTAAAAATGAGTTTGTGCAGGTGGCGAGGGAACTTACCATTCGCTGTACAGGCTCCTATAGGGCAGTGAACATGAAAAGAAAAGAGACAGCTGATCAGAGATAATGCTGATTTTCGTATTTTTCTCAGAACATATCAATTCAACATTAACATCTATTAGCTGAGCGAACAAAAATCACATAGGATAAAAGAGAAATTATTTTAAAAAGTTAGTAAGCCCCTAATTTCACTTTGATCTACTTAGATATATATATATATATATATATATATATATATATATATATATATATATATATATAACATGCCTCCCGAGGAGCAGGAGAATCTCACCAGATGATCAAGATGAACTGAATTTGCCCTGGCCAGTTTGGTCCAGTGGTTAGAGTGTCAGCCCAAGAACCAAAGGGTCCGGGTTCGATTACCAGTCAAGGGCAGGTACCTGACCTGGGTTGTAGGCCCAATCCGGCCTGGGTTGGGGCATGTGCAGGAGGCAACTGATCGATGTGACTCTATGTCTCTCTCATAACAATGTTTCTCTTTCTCCTCTCCATCCCTTCTACTCTCTCTAAAGATCAGTTGGGGGGGGGGGGGGGGAGATAACTGATTTGTTCTTCTTATCTACACTTTTATCTATTTGGACTAAACTACCTTCCTGGCTACTTCTTACCTCAAAATGCCAGCTTACTACTTTGTATGTATAGATAAAAGTACCTGAAATGGATAAAAGTACAAGCAGGATGCCACTTATGATTTCCATGATAAATGATGGAAAAAGGCCAGTTACCTAATAGGACCTGTAATATCATTTATGCTTAAAACAAGATGGATGATGGATATCATAAGCAGGATAGACATATACATGGGCGTGATGTTCAAAAGGCAGAACCAAAGAGCTAGGATGGAAGTGAAGTGGTCAAAATTCCTACTTAAGCTCTGCCACGGCATCCTGGAGATGCTTCTGGATCCTCTCATCCTTCTCATAGATTTCCAGCAGTGAGGTGGCCTCATCGTGATTCTGGCAGTAAACCTTGTAAGTTCCCTCAAGCTCATCCCGGTGCTCAAGAAACACAGGTCCTTTAAGATAAATACACACACAGTGTTTTTAGCAAATTTCTTCTCAGTGTCCTAAATGTAAGGTGTATAAGAAAACTTTAATGTCGGTTAAACCCTACCACAAGAAAGGATGATAAGACTACCCATCCAATTAATAAGAAATTTAAGAGACATGTTATCCGTGTATTTACTTTTCAGTACACGTATACACACACTCTCACACACACACACACACACACACACACACACACACACACACAGAGCTGGTCCCTGAGACAGTCTCCAGCCCCTTTTCAATCAGGCAGAGTAAGGGGTTTGCAAGTACTTTCCAGAATCGCTCAAACTGTGGGTCACAACCCATAAATGGATCATGAAATTGACTTCACAGGTAATGATCAGCACTCATTTGGGAAAATAGAATAGAAAAAAAAAAAATATCAGATAACATTGGACATAGTAAAAGTAAGCATAGGCACACACACACATACGAGCACACATATCCTGGGGCCTTATGTAAAATATTTCTTTCTGTGGGACATGTTTAAAATACTTTAAAAGCCAGTCCATTTACATATTAATACATACACAGTCTCCTGGTACTTTCTTCTTTTCTCAACCTCCTCATCTTCTAACTCATCCAAGCCCTGAACACCTGTCATCCTTTCCTTTCCAGCTAGATGCTGTCCTGGTGGTACTGGAACCCTTCTCCAATCAGGATTAGCAAATTAATTCGGCAGCCTAGTACTTTCTCCAGCACCCTAGATCACCTTGATTTTTGCTGAGTTACCCCTCTTTCCTAGTCATTTAGGCTGCTTGGGAGGTGCAGTGCTGAGAGGGAAAAAGACTTAGTGTAAAGCAGTTTGCATTGTATGCCGACACTGGTATAATTTTAAAAAAACAGGGATGGTGAACCAAAGTAGAAAAATATATATATGTAATTGCTGATATATAATAAGCTATCTCTGGAAGGAGATATAAGACAACTAGTCACACTGGTTGCTTCCGTTTGAAAAGAGCTGGGTACGGGGGACAGGTAGGGTACATTTCGTTAGTTCTTTGTAGCTTTCTGACTGTGTGCCGTGTAAATGTAACGAAAGTAAGTTAAATTTAAACTGTTAAATCAAATTTAAGCAAAGTAAAAATTTGCTCATGCAATTCATGTCAATCTGCCATTTGCTAGTGGCTCAACAAAGACTTAATTTCCCTTTCTCTGATTTCTCAGAAGAGTCCCTCGTCAGATGTTCCAAATCTAATCCTTTAGTAACTCCCAGGGAAGGTACTGTCTGGCCTTTTGGCTGACCAGACTGAAGCCCCCCGCATGGTGCTCTCATACAGTCTCTCTCCATCTCATGCACGTGGCCCCTGCAGGGTGGCCCTCACTTGTGAAGCTAAACCTCCTGCCAAGGTCTTGAACCATTCCGTTCCAAGGCCCTCTCCTCCGCTATCCTCTGTGTACCTTCAGCGCGTCACACTCTGCTACCCAGTTCCTGCTTGTCTTGGGAAAAGAAGTGGAAGGGAACAAGGAAAAATAAACACAGTTGATATCTTATAGGGGTGAGATTATGGATATTTTGTTTTAATTTCCTGTGTCATTGTTGTCATAATATACCGGTAGTAAAATAAATTAGGAGAAAAATACTTTCTGGTATTTTCTATTTTATTAGTGCAACCCACTAAATTGACCTCATGATCCACTATCAGGTTGCAACCATCGGTCTAAAACACATCCTACTCAGTAATAGCTAAAATTTATTTTATTGCTAAGATTCTATATCTCCTCAAAGTAGGCTGCAGATAAAAGGAGAAGCTGAGGGCCAAACAACCTCTGAACTAAGTAACTAAAACTTCGTTTCTTAGCAAGGTCCTTCTCCTCCTGCCTTCTACCCATAAAGTTTTTTTTTTTTTAAAGTTGCTTCTGGAGCTCATACCTACAGCATCGCTGATTTCCAGATCGGCCAATAATTGTTTTGAGACCTTTATCACCATCTGCATATTTCCAAAAAGTCCCTCAAAATCAATGTTTGGTATCTGAGAAAGGGAAACAAACATAAAGGTTCACAAAAATGAAATTAATAGCATATCATTCACATTAGAAACACCTCTTCAAGTATGATACAAAAATTGTTCGGGGTCAGCTTGGCCAGTGTTGCTCAGTGGTTGAGCGACAACCTATGAACCAAAAGGTCACTGGTTTGATTCCCAGTCAGGGCACATATCAGGGTTTTGAGCTCTATCTTAGTGGTGGTGGTTGGGGGGGGGGGGGGCAGCCGGTCAATATTTCTTTCTTATTAATGTTTCTATTAATGTTTCTCTCTCCTTGATGTTTCTCTCTCTCTCTCCCCCTTCCTCTCTCTCTCTCTCTCTCAAAAAAACTTATTTTAAAAAAACTGTTGAAGGTCATTTTCACTCACTCTCACAAAGTTTCCAGAACAGAAACATCCAGCATTAGCTTTAGTGTTACCCTTAGTCCTTGATTCAACTATTCTCCCCATCCACCCCCCCTGCTACCTGAGTGGAATGGCTGTGGAAACAATTTGGTCTATAATCACATTCACATTCCCACCCGGTACCCAAAACCTGATGGCACTGCATACTTCCTATAGAAGTTCTTGGAAGTGACAAACCCAAACCCAGTTGAAGTGGTCAAGTAACAAGCAATAAGGACTATAAATCCCCAGAAACTGTGAACCTCTTTTCTATCTTCAGCATCCAGAAAAGTAACTAACACGATCTGCACATGACAGTTAATGAGTTTCCTGAGTAAACCTTGTGCAATCACATCAGTTGCGAGAGCCAGGAACGCAATCATTTCCAGACTTCATTGTTCTTATACAGCCTTTCCAGGAAAGTGACAATCCAGACTCCCTGGTACTGTTTCCAGGAGTCAAAATAAACAGAAATGTCCTAGTTTTACTGCAACAAGTCCGATTAGTTAACAGTGGACTTGATAAGTGACGGGATACTGATGGCTTAAGTTGACACATGGATGTTGGGAGCCTTGAATTAAGCAGCCACAGACTTAACTTCCAACACAATAAACCTCTGTGGTGAAAGTTCCCTTATCCTGATGCTTTAGGCTTGGAGAATCATATTCAAGGCAAAGCTAACTTGCTCTCAGTTCCCACCTGTGCCTGCTGCAGGGGTACCATGATCCTTTCAATACACATTTCCAGATCTCGAACATAGTCTCGTTCCGTCTGATGAAGTTCTTCTACCACCTTGGCTCTCTTCTCCAGCATCCTCTGCTCCGGGTTTTCCGTGGACACAGACCCAGAAGCGGCCCCAGGAGATGAAGACTGGGAGGAGAGGAGGGTCATTTCTAGAAGGGGAAAGAGAACTGGTCGGTATCTCTGTGTGCTAAAGCAGGACTCTTCCAACAACTCAGTGAGAAACGAACACAGTCCTTGACAATCAAAGGCCTCACAATTGTCAACAATCAGGACCACTGATCCCACACGCCAGTTCTGATCATGAACAGATGAAGACTCAGGAGGCCATTCCTGCAGAGAGAATGTCTCCATCTGTGTGACACCATTTTTAGAATTTTCCCTAAAAAAAGAGTAGCTGGCACATGTTATAAGGACAAATCAGTGTCCACAGCTTCCTTGGCAAAGAGGCCGAAAGAGCTGCTGTTCACATGAAGAACTGCTTTCATTTAATTAGGTATAAAATCCATCCCATGATCTCAGCAGACGTACCCAGCTGGAGGTTAAAAACATTGATATGCACATTAAAAACAATATTATGGGGAACATAATGCCAAATAAGGGCAAGACAAGAATTAGGCAGAAATGATTCATTGGAGATGAGGGTGGCTGCAGGACCCACTATTTTCCAGTTGTGTGATGATGGATTAACATTAACATATGATGAATTATGCAAAAGTTATTTAGATTCTCCTTATCAAAATATTAATGAAGTCTCACAAGCAGGTTTTATTACTTCAAGTGTCCCAGAAGATACAAATGTACTGTAAACATGAAGTTCTTTAATGGTATTTTCAATTAGATGAATCTTTATGGACCCACACTGCATGATCTAAAAATGAAAACAAATACGATCTTGTAACTTTTTCATTTACCTGTTACTTGGATACACATGATGAGAATTATTTATATTAGAGGACATTTGTTCATTAAAATGGACATTAAGTACTAAAATAAACAATTAAAAAATTTCAACAGTGAAGCAATCCCTGCTGTGTAGTCCAAATCCTTTAGATCAACTTAAAACAACGACAGACGTGGTATGTAAATATATTAGTAAGTTTCAGTGTAATTACAAAATTTTTTCCCAGCCTTAAGATACAAAATACAAGTATTCAAATTACTTATGAAATCTAGGCTTTCACAGCAGATTTTAGTCTACAAAATTCTTCCTCACTGCCTCTTCTCTAAGAGTTTAGGAATTCCTACGTTGAAAAAGTGCAAACCAGATTCGGATTTCTAAAAACCATTCCCCATTGAAAGGAACCAGTGTTCTATGGAGAAATGGCTACGTCCAGGGTTGGGGCAGGGAAAGTATAAATGAGCCTGAAACATCTTATGGTAGAAAGTAAGGAACTGCTCAGGAAACTAAGGGGTTCATGTCCAAAGGGGCTCCTGCGGGCCAAACTGGTACAATTTGAGTATCAAAATCAATAAACACACACATATGTAACACCTTAATAAAGAAACTTTTAAAAAGGGAAATAAATAAATAAATAAACACACACAGCACTGGATTATAATCCATTGAATAAAATAAGAATCTATTGTCAATATGTAAGTACATAAATGAGAAAGAAGCTCAAAGAGAAAGCTCTATGGTAGAAAATAATGGTAGGGTTTGAAGATGATCAGGGTATTTGCATAGTTTTGAATAAGTTATTAAAAATTACTTAGTAATTACAAAAATGAAAAATAGTGACTATATGGTAGAGAAATGAATAATATAATCAAAATTCAAATCACTAATAAGGGACAAATAAACATCATATATTTGCATATGTCCTATCTGGAAACAACACTACTACTATATCTCTAATGAAGCATCCCAGTTAAAAATGCATAATCTGAAAGGAACTTTGAGGAAACATCAGACAAACCCAAATTGATGATTTGTATTCTTCTAAATGTCACATCAGGAAAGACAAAGAAGGCCTGAGGGACCGTTCACAATCAAGACAACTAAAGACAGCCGAAACAGGTTTGGCTCAATGGATAGAGCATTGGCTTGGGGACTGAAGGGTCCCGGTTCGATTCCCGTCAAGGGCATGTACCTTGGTTGCGGGCATATCCCTAGTAGGGGGTGTGCAAGAGGCAACTGATCGATGACTCTCTCTCATCAATGTTTCTAACTCTCTCTCTCCCTTCCTCTCTGTAAAAAAAGTCAATAAAATATATTTTTTTAAAAAGACAACTAAAGACAAAACAGATGTAATGTGATTCTGAACTGAACTGGATCCTGCCCTGGGGGGGGGGGGGGGGTTGCTACAGAGGACATTATACAATAGGTCAACTGAAATTGTAATACAAACTATAGATTATAGTAATTATTTTTTTAAAATATATTTTATTGATTTTGTACAGAGAGGAAGGGAGAGAGTTAGAAAGCTAGAAACATCGATGAGAGAGAGTCATCGATCAGCTGCCTCTTGCACACCCCCTACTGGGGATATGCCCGCAACCAAGGTACATGCCCTTGACCGGAATCGAACCCGGGTCCCTTCAGTCCCCAAGCCAACGCTCTATCCATTGAGCCAAACCAGTCTCGGCAGATTATAGTAATTATTAAATCAATTCAAAATGTCCTGAAATGGCAAATCTATGTGGTCACATATGAGACTATCCATGGTCACACAAAATAAACAATGAAGCTATTAGTAAGGAACATGATATATGCAACCTACTCCCAAATAGTTCAGTGAAAAAAACCTGTGTGTGTGTGTGTGTCCACACTTGGAGAGAAAATAAAAACAAAAACATGGCAAAATATTAAATACTGGTGGATTTGAATAAAGAATATATATTTAAATAAAGAATATACAGGTTCTTTGTACTGTTGCAATTTTCTGTAAATTTGATATTATTCAAAATAAAGTTTAGAAAGCTATAATGATAAAATATTTTTCTTGAACTTATATTTGGTAGAATGAATGACAAAATTTAAAACATGTCTTATTTCATCAGAGTGCTAAACTATAGTTCTAAATTAATTGTAGTGTATATAAAATTTATTTTCACTCCAGCCAGTGTTGCTCAGTGGCTGGACACTGATCTATGAACCAGAAGGTCACAGATTTTAGCCAGGGCACATGCCAGGGTTGTGGGCTCAATCCCCAGTGGAGGGGGCATGCAGGAGGCATGTGATCAATGATTCTCTCTCATCATTGATGTTTTTATCTTCCTCTCTCCGATCCTCTCTGAAATCAATAAAAAATATATTTCTAAAAGTTTATTTTTAATAGGCTTGTTTTAATTTTTTTTTGTGTGTGTGTGTGTGTGCGCAATTTCAAAGCAATAGAATCCCAAATATTTATATATATAAAAGGCTATTATGCAAAGTGTCCCCTAGGGAGTTCAACGGAGACCAACTAGTTCCATCACTTGCTATGACCACCAGGGGACGACGGGAAAGAAGGAAGGTCCAGGCTGGCCAACAGCTGGAAGTCCCTGATCAGCCTGATCGCTGGGCAGGTCTAGAAACTCTACCTGTGTAAGAATTTCATGCACCGGGCCTCTAGTAGTTTCATAAGTGGTAAATTGAGAAGAGAAAATAATTTTTGTTTTATATAATGTCATATATATAATAATTTTATATAAAATTATATAGAATTCATATAAAACAAATAATTTATATAATTTTTCTGAGGTATAATGACACAAAAGAGTGTTTATTTCAGGTGCACAACATGATTCGATATTTGTAAAAGAAACTCGTATGTATACAGGATTGGGAAAGAAGAACATTTATTGAATTCCTACCAAGTGCCATGCGCTCTACATATTATGTTCCTGAACTCATTTAATATTCACACCAATACTCTGAAGTAGTATTACTACTCCCATTTAATAGATAAGAAAAGCTTGGCTTTGAGAAGCTGACTAACTTGTCCCAGCTTATGTAGTGAGTAAGCAAGTCTGGAATTCGAATCTAAATATATTTAAATCAAAATGCTTCGTACTTAATTCTGCACCATTTTGCCTCCCTAGCCTGGTATCTCAACTAGAAAAGGCCCGGAACTTATTTCTTCAAATCTTAAAAATTCCCTGGGAACTATCATCTCCCAGAAATCAAAGTTCTATAAATTAGAGTAGTTGAAAGCATGAAACACTCATCAATCAGAAGCCAATAACTTACACAGAGACTCAACCAGATTTTTATTTGTATTAAAAGAAAGAAAAAAAAGTTAATACTTCTTTTAAACTACCTGCTTTGTCTTTATTTGCAGGTGAATTTATAAACTCTTGTACAGCTTTTAACCCTTTGCACTCCGAACCATTCTGGACATTGGCTACCAGCTACTCGACGCTACTTTGCGGCGGACACGTGCGTTGAATTAACTCAATTCCCTGTAATCACTAATAAACTGCAATGTCCCCCCTGAGAGGGGACATCCGAGTGATATGCTAGAATTCCGATGTCCCCTGAGAGGGGCCAGCGGAGTGCAAAGGGTTAATAAACAAAACCAGACACACTTTAGTGTGATTAAAACCCCCGTGGGATGGTTTTTGTTAAATGGCAGTTTCCCGGGCACTGCTCCTGAGATTCTGATTCAGCAAATCTGGGTGGGACCCGGGTATCTGCAATTTTAACAAAATCCTAGATGTTTCTGAAGACGCATATGATCCTTCACACTCCACACAGGTAAATTAATATTTATAGGTTAAGTCAAACTAGAAATATCTGGCTTGAAAAGACTCCAAATTTATGGCTGTTTTCCCATTATTCCAACTATATCCTAAGAAAAAAGCTTATGGTACAATTTCAGTATCCAGGACAGCCAAGTGCGAGAGGGCAGCCCACCCTCGGCCACTGCGGTGCAGACAGGGGGCTTGGACCTTGCACTTCCTCACGCTGCAGCTGGGGAGGCCCTGGGAAAGCCCTCTTTACCCCGGGGCCACAGTTCCCTCCTCTGCAGAGGGAGGGTGATAGGACCTGCTTTGCAGAATTGTTGAGGGAACGGAACAAGGTAATAACTCAGCACCAAATTAGCCCTTTCCCCACGATGGGCCAGAGAACACCGACCGCGCCAGGTTAAGGTGCAATGCACCAAGTGGAAATGCCCTGTTCGGAACCACAAATTCCACTTTTCTGTGAGAACAATGAAACCTGGGG